CGAGTTCGGCACCGTAGAAGAACGCAACAACCAGCGAGCCGGCTGTGATTGAAAGTTGAAAGTTTGCAGGATTTAGTGACAGCCGAACAAAAGCTCGAATGCCGAGGGGAGGGGGACAGACGGCGGTTGGTGGGAGCGTTAATTGAATTTTCGCCTTACGCTCTTTGTTAAAGCCGTCCGAATTTAGCCGAAAACTTTGAAGTTTTCGGTTCAGTAACGTTTTCACCTGATTCGCCCGCCTCCAAGGAGAGGGGAGGGGCCTCATGTATTTGGGATGATTTCGGATGAATCGGAGGGCCCCGTTCCGGCTCTGGCGGCGAAAGTGACTCAAAACGGATGGTGGCAACCGAAGACATGAAGACGGAGCGCTAGATGAAGAAAATAAAGCCACCTCTGACAAGTTGGCGGAGCCTCTATGAGCAGCAGAAAAACTGACTTTATCTGAGATTCCTGTAAGATTCCTCCTTGTTACCAAGCCAAAATAGATTTATCATAAAAATTCACCATCCCAACTTTATTTATTTGTTCGTTGTAGGCAAATAAAACGAGATTAGAAGAAGAAATGTGGAAAAATCAAGAGGACAAGTTCAAATAAGATGTCGTTTCCCGCGCATGGATTCACAGCAACTTTATCCGAGATTCCTGTAAGATTCCTGTTTGTTACCAAGCCAAAATAGATTTATCATAAAAACTCACCATCCCAACTTTATTTATTTGTTCGTTGTAGGCAAATGAAACGAGATTAGAGGAGGAAATGTGGAAAAATCAAGAGGACAAGTTCAAATCAAATCGTTTCCCGCGCATGGATTCACAGCGCCAGAATGGCGTCACTTCTTCCCTAAGCTTTTAAATACGAGCACTCGTCTTTATGTCGTCAAGGCGATTAATCGCTTCGAGTGAAAGACGAAAGCCAATGGAGAGCCTTGATTTCGATAAATCGACGTCAATGGATCGAAATCAAGGCTCTCCATTGGCTTTTGTCTTTCACTCGTGGCGATTAATTGCCGTGTGTATCTAGTGCCGCAATCAGACGCTGAATTTAGCACCTGAATGTGGAAGTCAACAGTCATCGCCCAACGGCTGAAATTTAGCAAATTCGAGTTATTTTCATCCAGATGTGTATCAAATCTACTCGAATAGTTCAGACAAATTCAAAATTGGTCCGCACTGAAAAAAAAATCTCGGTGTATTTACTAAGAAAAGGGTAAAAAAGGGTAGTAAAAGGGTAATTCAGGGTTCTATTTGATCCCAGTTTTTTCTTGGTAAAATTACCATTTATGGAATTGGTAATTTTACCAAGAAATCTCGGTAAAATTATTGACTCTCTCGGTAATTTTACTGGACCCCGGTAAGACGCCAATATTTTTTATCGACTGTGGTAGAATTACCGAGATAAAATGACAAAGTTACCGGGAATTGATTACCAATAAAAGTGGTATTCTTACCTGAAAAAACAGTAAAAATACCGGTTTTTAGGTTAGCTTACCAGTCTGTCTTCTGTCTTGGTAAAATTACCAATGATTGGTAAAAAAAAGAGATGGTAAAGGTACCAACGGACCGTGGTAAAAACGCCGAGAATTTTTTTCAGTGCGATGGTTGCTGAGAATCGTTGCTGAATTTTGCGCGTGACGCGCAAAATTCAGGCATCGGGCCGATGACTTCCACATTCAAGCCACATTCAGCTCCCACATTCAGCGTGTGATTGCGGTGTAGGCCTTTAGGTTGAAACGACCCATGGGCGGGAGTGCGTGTGGACGCGGACGCAATGACAAGGGAAGGTGCGACGCCGGCGCCGCGACGCGACGCGCGGTCAGCGTGACAAAGCGAGGGAAGGCATAAAGGCCCCAAAGGACGCTGAGACCACGGCCGCGGCTCGCCCGGCGATGAAAGCTGTTACCGGGTCATAAATAGATTAACACCGCCATGCTAAAATAAAAGTTCCACCTCTCCGGGACGCCATTCATGACTCGGTCTGAATTTTAGGCTCGATTCCGTTAAGTGAATTAATAACGCTGCAGATTGGCGAGGGGCGCTGCGCAGGTCCTTTGACGCCGCGACGCTTTTGACCAGTTATGTCGCCACCAGCTCAGCACTTACGCATCGTGATGCGATGAGGGGACCGTCCCCCTTTGCGGAGACAGATCTTGAGCGCCGCTTGGACCTGAAAGCGATGTTGTCAAACATCAAAAATTTTACAGGGTGACAAGTTTCGATCGGAATTTAAAATTCCCTGAATTCTCCACGACATTCGCGTTTTGAGAATGAAATTCTCTGACTTTTGGTTTATTTTCCTCTTCTCTTTACATTATTCCTCATAAGAATGCTTGGACAAAACTCTTTTGGCGCTAATTGGGAATCTCTTGATAATTAAAACAATCGAAGCTAAAGATTTCGCAGCGAAATTCTCTGACTTTTCAGGACTGGGAAAAAAATCTTGAATAAACTAGATTTTCAGTGACTTATCAAGAACTTCTATAGTTTCATTACTTAAAAATAATGGTGTTCGAACGCAATTTTGTCGATTAAAGCTGTGCTGCCGTTCAAAATCCCCGAAATGGTTCACAGAAATAGCACAAAACGACCCGCAGAAAATTTTAAAAACTCCGTGTTGTGAGTAAATCCAAAAAATCCTCCGCGTTAAATAATAAAAGTTAAGCTGAAAATCCGAGTTTTTTACCAACAATCCGTACATAGTCAGCGTTTAAACAGGTTCTGCGATACACACAAGAAAAAAGCCTCTTGGATTCAGAGTCTAGACTCTGAAAAATTTCACAAGAAAAAGTACTCCTGATTCAATCAGAGTTTTCCTTGAATCGAGAGCCAAGCATCTTACTTTAATCGGATTATCTTTGGATTCAACCAAAAATCCGATTGAATTAAAAGTGGTTTATCTTGTCAAATGGCTTAACAGTCTTGACTCTAGATCTAAGAGACTTGGTTTTCCAGTGCAGTTCCAAAATTCCGTATTCCTTACAAACATTTAAACGCGCGAGCTCTTGCGAATAGAAAATATACATAATGAAAATGCACCAAAAAATGCATTTTTCTAAACTCTCCGCAAAAAATACACATTTTCCCTGAATATCCGCAATTAATTCGCATTATGACAAAATCCGCATAAGATCATCCCTTTTTATTTGGTATTTGTGACTTCCCCTTATCTTCAGAGACAATTTTCGGTTAAAGTATTTTTTCATGGCGTCCCTCAAGTTTTATCGTTTTCCATCCTCACACATCTCCTTAGGAGGTTCTTCCACTAAATTTCGTATTTGTTTGGAACAACTCTGCCGTGCTACGTAAAAACGCCGTATGGGCATTCGAATTTTGCCAAATTTCCTGTCAGAAAATATTTATTTTTCAAGAAAGTATTGAATATTTCTCCTTGATATTTTCAGACTTCATAGACCAAATTACGAAAGAAATCCTCTAAAAAATCGAAAGAGAAATATTCACAAATTTTCCTGAAAATTCGTGAATTGCCGAAGGAAATTTGGCGACACCTGATGGCTCATACATCGTTCTCCCTTAGCACGTGAAAATTGTTTCTTCACTTTTCACAGTTGTCGAAATCATTCGGTAGGTACACTGTGGTAACAACGCATTGACGGTTCCATTTCATTACTGAAGCCCTGATTAAAAGAACAGAAGCATCTTTGCGTTGCGTTGCGTCAACTTTCCGACAGCATCGAAACGGAGGAGATTAGAGATAATTTTGCAATGGAACGTCAGAAAATCACCGTCGTATTTCATTGTTTGACCTCGCCCGGTGACCGGGGCGACGAAAAAGAATTCGTTAATCGAAATGCAACACGACGTCAGGGCATCAAAAAACGAACCTTCACCTATAAATCTCACGGGATTTCGAGACGGAAGACCTTTCTTTCTAAATATATTCGCCGCTCTAAATTTCTCAGCCGAAGGCTCTTCAGGGCTCATCGGATAAAAGGGGATGAACCTCCGACAGCTACACGGCCCAACCCCCAGAGAGCGTTCGCAACCTCAAAGTGCTGCGTCTTGGGTCGTTTTCCAAAATTTTCAAGAGAGCGGAGATAAAGTGGACCGCGTTAAGCAGAGAGGAACCAAGAACCACATCAGCTATCACCAAATTAAATCGCGGGCACTTTGATTCTTTCCATGAAAACGGTTGTGCGGATTTTTTTTTCTTTTTGCAAGTTTCAGTAAATTTTCGGTGTAGCACCAAGCAAATTCCCTAAAATTTTCAAAAAAAACTCGCACACACATGCTCTTGTAAAAAATTTAATTGTTCAGTTAAATTTGCCAATATCAAATACGGCTTGGTTCCTATCTACTAAACGCTGTCCAAATGAGAGATGTATGATAACGTTGATTTTTCACTATCATACTGGAGAGGGTCACCAAAAATATATGTCTGGGCAACAACGCCTGAATAGAACTATCTCCTTAAAATGAACATTTCTCCTCTTTTCCCCGAGTCTTAATACAATTTTGGCAATACACTCTAAATAGGAAAACATTTCTGGAGTAGACAATATAAAAGGTGACAATGCAACCTCACAAACGGACTTCCGTACAGTTGTCATTTTTACCAAGGCGTACTTGCAGAAGACTAGATTAGAATTAAAAATGACTTTTTCTCGTAATTATTTTTAATGGACCATGAACTTGAAACCGCCATCAGCCTGGTTTGGTTTGATATGTTATATTGTTTACTAACATCTGAAAATGTTTGTAAAGCATGTCTTTATTCTCTGATATCAATAACTTAACTCCGAGTTTTAGTACATCATGAGAACCCCTTTACCGCGGGCGCGGTCACCAAGTATACGTATACCTAAAACATTCAGCATGTAACAGATAATAATGGAGCTAAAATGAAGCATTTTATGCCTCCCTGAGCCTTCTCATCGGATAGAAGTGTCATCGTAGGTCATCAATGATCCTTCAAAGGTAAAGGTAGAGGGGATGAGAAAGTTTATTCCTACAAGATTATGCTGAATAGAGACAAAAAGTTGACTTACTGAATTCGGAGGAATCTCTGCTATTTTCGTTTTCGTCTGATTCGGTTCCAGAATCGTGATCTTCGTTATCAACCTGAGAAACAGAAAAAAGGAAATTATAGACGCTATTAAAGCTGGGACTATATCTGGCGATAAGTTTAAGCCCGATAATAAGTTTAAGTTTCATTTGGTTTTACAAAGTTTATTGGAGCGAAACATGTGTGTGCTCCGAATGGATAAGTATTCGTATGGTATGTTTGTATTCTCCGGTATGTTAGTAGCCTGGAACAAAACTAAAGGCAAAACTTCAGGTGAACGATACCTACTGACTAGTAGGTATCGTACACCTGAAGTTGCCGAATGGTGACGACACCGATTATGATCGGTTCTATCGAAGCTTGTGGAGCGACAAGAAGTGTTTTTTTTTTTTTTTTTTTTTTT